CAGCAAAAGCATCGCAATTGCCGCTCCGTGTAATCGCGACAATTACCGTGTCCGAGGTCTTTGCTTTCTTCAGCGGGCGGAGTACACCGCTGCGCGTACTCGGGTGGTAATTCTGGTGCGGCTGGAGCGACGCACTCTCCACGTCGCTGCGAGTGGAATCCTTTTTCGGACTTACGTCGAGCCCGATCCCGAGATACCGCCGAGTCAGATTTAACAGATCCGATTAATGTGACAAGCCGAAGAAACCTACTTTCTAAGACGGCCGGAGTTCCTCTCTAGAATTATTGCTCGGACCGTCAATCACATACATCCACCAACCCCGCCGTGGAAAGGGGGAGAGAGAGAGAGGAAGAGGGAGGGTAAGAGGGAGGGAGAGAGTTCCCGAATTAGCCGTTTATTCTTTCCCGAATCAAATTGCGTAACGATCTGCCGTAGCAGCGTAGCGTAACGTAAAACGTTGTCAGTCCCATAATTCCCTCTCCCTGTCCGTTTCATTCGTCACCCCCACCTTTTACCTTTCCTTTGTCCCTTCTCTCCCCCCTCCCCCGTACCGAACCTCTTCCGCGGCACACACACTCTGTGTTCTCTTCTACTTCCCCTTTCCGCTCCACCGAAAACCTGGTCACCCCACTACGGTGCCTTTTGTCCCCCTCGCCTCTTTCTCCAGGCCGACTGACCCCGGGCCTCTCACCCACACTGTAGTCTCGTAGTAAAGATGGCCGGCCCTCACGTAGCTAGCAAACTGCAGGATCGGATCATCGTGATTCCACCTCCCGATGAATTGCACGAGATAAGAGACAGCTCGCCCGATGATATCTCTCTCCTCCCCTCGCTCCCCCCCCCCTCGTTGGCGGCGTGTGTTAATCTCATGTGTCCCATAATTTGCACTTTGTCTCTTATTGTTGCTCGCCCCGTCGTGCGCTTGATTTATGAATACGCAGGCGCGATGCGAAAGTGCATTATATTTTTAGTACTTTAGTTAACGGGCGAATAATCACACATCGCCTCGTTGAATCTCACGATTCACACAATCGCGCTTCACAGCCGCACCCGCGAGGGATTGCAGGCGTCCATAGGACACCGCTAGGATGTCCTTCGTTTCCTTTGTGCAATTTTGTAATTGCAATGTACTTGCGAAGTAGTCTTCGGACTTTAAACGTGATGTGTTATGTATTTCTTAATTAATCGACAGCGTTGATTCGTACCGATTCATCGCGTATTTAACGGCAGAGTGAAAATTCAAGAAAGGTCGAATGAACTCAGAGGGCTCAGTTTCTCAATGAGCGGCGGAGGGATGCATCCCTGTGAAAGCTCCGGACGCCGTACTACAGCGTACTATAGGCCGCACTATAGCGTACTATAGCGTACTATAGGCCGTACTACAGCGTACTACAGGCCGTACTACAGCGTACTATAGACTCGTATTATAGTATACTACTACTCCTATAGTATACGAGACAACGTCTCGTACTATAGGAGATGCGACCGCGTTCACCGGGCCCCGTTGAGCGTTTCCCTACCTGTCCGTAGGAGGCCCGCGTAGCGCTGCCGTCGCTCTCGAACCCTCCCGGCTCCGTCCGGGCATTGTTGGACGGACGCTCGCTCAAGAGAGAGTACCATAGTGCGACCGCATTACGTATCGAGTTTCTACAATCGCGAAAAAGCCGGTGTGCAGTTGCAAATGTGACTCGCGTAATCGTTCAGATCCTCGTCGATGAACCCTGTCAAGTGCTTCGCCGCGGATTTTCATGAAGGCGCGACTTTGACGGATCGTACTTGCGAATTGGAGCAAGCGGCCGACTGTCAGCTATGAAACAAGATCAGCAGCCGCGGAAGCAAGGCAAGGCCCTCTTCCAGATTGCCAAGGTTTGTTTCGGCTCGTTCCCTCCTCGTTTCTCCCTCGTTATCGTATTTATCGGAACTCCTCGTTCGTTTATCGCCGCGTTAAATTGCTGGACGTTGCTGTAACTCGCCGCTCGATATCGCCCGATAACCGGTGTACCGTTATACTTATCCCGCCTCTCCAAGTACCTGTTGATTCTCAGAGCGCGGTCACGGCGTGTAAATGATCTCGCTTTGATCGTTTATCGCTTTGATATTCTCGACTTAGGCAGGCGGGTGGCAGGCGTGAAAACTGGCTGGTTTGGATGGACATTTCTTCACGGCTCCAGCGGCAGTATGTTTACGACGGTCCGCGTTATTTCGTCGTTGGGGCGGTGACAGTGCATCGCGCGTAAGACGAAGCAGATTCTCGATATCGCGCAAAATTGTCGAATAAAATGCGGAAATTTCAGTCAGATACAAAGGCGTAACATGTAACTCGTAATAACATGCGATATCGCGGTCCAAATATTATCGTTTAATTTAGCACACAGGCGTTGCGTTCGTAAAACGCTCAAGTCGTTTTACTCGAACACGTAGCGAGTTTACTTAGTTTCCTTAGTTTCTCTCTCTGGCGAGTATATTCGATAAAAATTTTATCTCACGATCTCTCGCTGTTTATTCAGCATCTCGAGCGAGAGATTGCAAGATCCATCAAGGCTGTATTCATATGTTTCTATAGCTGAAAGGTTTAAGGTCGACCCGCGAGGGGCGCGGTTGCGCTCGCATAAATCGACGGATAATTTACGCAATTTTCCAATGATAATGCAGCGACACCTTCCGCTCGTCGTAGGAAAATCTGCGGAATGCACGGCGCGCTTTTCATTTGCTCTCAATTAACCCAATTCAGCACGAGCCGTGCGACTTGAGAATCCGCGCGCGCGCGCGCACGCGCTAAAGTATAACGTTGACATTCCGAGCTTCTCGGGAAAGCGCAGGGTAACGATTTCATCTGTCGATGAAGTGGACACGACGTGGATTGACCAATTGCTAGAAAAATATTGGGTACGACTTTCCAATTATTTCAATCATCCGAGGTCAGTTGTTTGCGGTTGCTGAAGTCGCGGTAAAGCGGTTGACTGCGGTGTGGTCTGCCTTTCATTATACGGCTAGCACAATCGATTATTCGTAAAATAATTGGATTCTGGAATTATAGCCTGGCCGAATGCATCGTTGCTCGAATAAAAGGATTTTTAACTATTATTTTCGTCGTGCGTCGATGAAGGCGCTTGGGCGCAAATAAGCCCCATAGTGGCCGAACCGTGGAAAATATCTCGCGCGATCGTCACGCAGCAGTAACTAGGTATTTGGAGCGCTTTGAGATTCTCATCCGCAGACACAATTTATGTGATCATTCTTGAATCCTCATTTTTTCCATTTTCCCAACATGCTTGGCTGAACAGCTGATTATGCGGGGAATAGCGACGCATAGTTTAATCGCTGTTTCGATTATGTTTAATTGATACTTGGACGAACTTTAATCGGTGCGTTGTGTATTAAAGTTATATTTATAATATTTATTAAAGTTATATTTATAAGAGGGGCGTATTGGGTAGAAGGTGGAAAACGAAAAATGCCGGGGACAAAAATGTCGAGAGAAAGCTCGATGTCTCTTGTCTCTCTACGCGTTTTCCATATTGCGCTCAATCGTAATCCTGTAATTTTATTGTACGCGCTTATAAATCACTGATCATAGGATACGTCTGATAAACAATAGTTGGACTAATAAGCATTAAAAACCGTTACCGTCAGGCTTCCCGCAAGCCTCCAGCGCTAATTGGTACGCGCGTGGAGCAGCAAACAGCAAATTAACAGGTATCGAAGCGCTCTTGAGACGCGAGTGTTCTTCATAAAATCATAACCTTGCGGTAAATTTGCAGAAGGGAAGGAGCATAATCATCAGTGGCTAATAACTAATAACGGCCGCGGGATGAGAGGCTAGTAAGAGTGCATTGGTTTTCTCAGAAACTGATCTTAGAGAGCGGTATGCGCGACCGCTAGGCGTGATTCATGACTGTCCATGTATAAATTTCTGAACTGTTTCAATCTACAAAAATATTTACGCACATGTGCATGCATCGTATCTGGACGAGAGAGGTGCCCGTCCCTTGTGAGGTCCCATCGAGTTTTGACGGCCGCATCATTCACATTTCAAGCGAAGAGATTTCCTTTCCGTCCTTTCAGTCTCACGATTCTTTCGACACATGTTCATTCAACGAAGACGCTCTCCGCAGGAGCATTGGCTTTCACATCGGCACACGCATATTCGCTCTGTGTGTTGACTCTGTGTCTTGACGAGATAATAAAATTTCATCGCCGCTTGCCACACCGCGTTATCGCGGTTTTAACGAGAGCTTATTAGAGTTGTATCTGTTCTTTTGCCACGAGAGATCATAATTGCATAATTAATAATTATACATTGGGCGGTGAAGTGTATAGCGATACTTGTAAAAACATGTTTCATAGCAGGATGCAAAAAGTCGTGATTGATGAAAGTCGTGGGATCGGGCCTCAGTGCGAAAATGGGAACTTCGCCAAAGCGCGCGACGAGTGCGACGAGATTCCCCGCAAAGGGAACGAATATTGTTTCGCGCTGCGCGACGCCGGAAAAGAGGAAATTATGTTCCGCTATGCGGCGGGACATGGGTACGGAAATCGTGATTTACTTTCCCCCGGTATAATAATGCGCTACGTCGGCTACTGTCGTCGTGTATGGTTATAGGTCGGTGCCATGTAGGGTGCCGACACATTTACATTTATTCGTCTGTGTGCTGCGCATACCCACGCGCTGCCTTTTTCGACTCGACCTAATACACACCGATGCAAAGGATACGAGATACTCATTCAGAGCCGATGCCGAAATTGAACCGTGCCCACAGTGGGCTAATAATAGCCCACAAGAAGCGTCGCAACAGTCGTAACAATATCAGGAACATAATATGTCAGATGTATATTTTTTATTGCGATGCATGTCGTTTAAAAATTTTTGGCAAAGGATGTAAAGAATGTCTGGCTTCAAAATGTGCGAATTTGCGTTTTGCAAATAGAGGATATTTATAACACAATTATTTAGAATACAATTTAGAGGACCGTTGCGAGTTTTCTCGTTTTGATTTCAGGTCTTATGGCACCTCGACATTTTTCGACGGAGCTTCCGAGAGCTTTCTGGGCATGCTTGCATGCGGGAATCCTGCATCTTCTGCGCACTTAAGGTAAGGTGCTTTAAATCGAAGTACAAATTAATCTTTTTACTATCTTTCGGTTCGTTCATTTCGGTTCGTGTATTTCGTTGGAGAATCTCGCGTAATTTGACAAATTTGAAAGTTTTGGCGAATACACGAACAGGTGTATTCGCAGAAGAGCCGCCTGCGAGGAGTTCTTCGATCGCTTTTCTCTGTTTCTTCGTCAATTGTAGTCTTTCAATTACGTATTGTGAGATACAACGACGAGGTAGCTACGCCGGGGACAAATACTCTCTAAGCACTTGTCGCGTTTTTATAATACGTTGCCTTGACACTTTTACGTATCGATGAGCTCTGGCGTTTGGCGCTCTAACAAAGGGAGACGGAAAACCTCGGGCAGCGTTCTCGCACAAAGAAGAAGGGAGAGAAGAAGAGAGAGAGAGAGAGAGAGAGAGAGAGAGAGAGAGAGAGAGGGAAAACTTTTTTCCGGATAAATTTTACGCTGTATGAAATTCAACGAGGGTCATCTTTCGAAATTATCTCACGGTAAAGTGAAAATGAGGAGTGCCCGAGATGAAACGCCTTGATATATTACACGTGAGGAAGGTAAAGCTGATTTTCCATTCAGTGTGCAAGCTATTTTCTCGCCGCTAAAACATTTGCATCAAACCCGAGCGAGAGACACGAACGGGAAACTTATTCAACACAATAATTACGTCGAAAACGTCGTTAACTTTGTAACGCTCGCGCCCGTTACTTTGCTTGTTACTTTACTTGTTCGCTCCTCGTGTATATATGTTTACTTATTGTTTACTATACTTTCTCTGTATTTACTTGCTACAACATTTAATTTATAATTAAGGTAAACGTCCCAATGGCCTGACACGTCGCAGTATCCGACCACTTTGAAAAAAAATATTTACCATTTATTTTAACAATAATGAATGAAAATAATAATTATTGTAAAAAAAATACTCCAATATTTGACGATTAGTCGGAAAAAAAATATACCCGATTTGATATTTTTATATTAAAGTAAAAATTAATTGAATAAATATGCTCCTATGGTTTGGCAAAATAATGGTCAATCGTTGATAAATTCATTAAGAGATAGCATCTATATTTATATTATTTCCCGTTACCATATACTAATTTTCTAATTGTGGTCAGACACTGGAACAAATTATCTCCGAACATATATCTCCGGGCCGTAACCTATTTCAACTGTCCGGTCACTGGTACATTAATGCGCTTCATTATTTGTGTAAATATTTCATTAATAATAGATATATATATATATATATATATATTGGTTTAAATCATTTATCTCTACTTAAGGAAATCTAAAGTTTTCGAGTAAATATTTATATCAAAACTATTCTTAATATTATACAGGGTGGCCCACATAACTCTTAATAGCTGAATATTTCGGAAACAATTTGTCAAATCAAAAAGTTGTTCACGAGAAAGTTTTATGTATTCGAGGGGCCTTTCTAACTACATAAATATTAAGTTACTCCCTGCCTCCCTTAAAGGGGGGCAAAGGGTAACTTCGCAATTTCAAATGGGATCTCTTATAAAATGTTAAATGGTTGGGTTCTACGGTAAAAAACAAGTAAATTTTGTTCAAGACATTTTTTTGTCAGATGTTTCTGTTAAAAGATATAACGGTGTAAAGTTTCGAAGCTAAAAAATGTTAAAAAAAAATGTTACTTGTTTTTTACCGTAGAACCCAACCATTTAACATTTTACAGGGGGTCCCGTTTGAAATTGCGAAGTTATCCCCTGCCTCCCTTTAAGGGGGGCAGGGAGTAATTTAATATTTATACAGTTAGAAAGGCCCCTCGAATACATAAAACTTTCTCATGAACAATTTTTTGATTTGACAAATAGTTTCCGAAATATTCAGCTGTTAAGAGTTATGTGGGCCACCCTGTATATTGTATTTATTGTGACGACTTACGCTTAAACGTCTGGTTAAACATTTACCTCAATGTAAAAAAACATCTTTTTCCCAACGCGATCTTAATCGTTCCCTGTTTTCAATGTCATGTATATCGACAATGTGAGTGTCGACTTTATCTGTCGTCCGTATCATTTTCCCTCGCGTCCCGTACAATCGGACGGGGATACGACTAGCCATTGTAACGGGGTCGATGGTCCGCGGGCCTTTCTCGCCAACGATGTTCCTCTTGGTTCTCGGCTGGCGATTGGCCATACAGAAACACTGTAGGATAGCCGTTTTATTCGCTGATCCATCATGTTCCATCATGGCGAACGTAGTCTGCCTTTATCGTCAGCTGTTTCATCCAGCGAGAGCGAGGAACCGCAGGAGAAACGGGCTAGACGGCGTGGTAAACGTGGCGCATTCGAGGCTAGTCGAGAAGTAGGTGGAAACGCGAGTTCCTCCCTGATCTTCTCACGAGGTTAATTAATCTCGCGAGTTAATTGCTTTAGGCGCGATTCGCAGGAAGAGTCACCGGTCGGAAGAACGTGCAGGCTTCTCTTTGTTACTTGCGCCGGCGGCCGCGGCGTGATTTCGCCTCAAGGTACCGCAATTCGGGATAATATTCCGCCGAAATCCATTTTCCCGTGCGCCGTGGAGGACATTACCCCGCAACTCGTAACCATCGGCGTGATAACGCGCGGCTCAGGCGCGAGTAATCGCGAGAACGATAGTCGTTTTCTTCTCTTTTTTATAAACATTGCGGGGTCTTGTATCCCACAATCTCCATCACATCAGACGACCGAGTCCCCGTGTAAGCGCTGCTCGCTATTATTTGTAACTGAACTTAATCGCGCGGCATGATTTTAACTCGACACGCCATTGTACAGACAATTGTTGTAAAATGGTGTGCACTGTTTCCCCAGATGCGTTTAAGAACGCAACGCGACAGCTTAGGTTTGCCTAGGTGCTCACGAACCTGCGTGATTTACGTGACTATTTAAGGCAGCGGCCGAAAAGGCAATATACGGTGTGAAAATAAAATGAAGCATCTCATCGGAGCAGCCGTTAATGAATAATAATTGTAAGATTTTTAACAATAATATATATATATATATATATATTATTTTCATTAACTTCATGACACACACACAATGACGGATTATATGACACGGATCTTATGTTCGTCGTATTTCTAGTTAAAGTAATTTATACTTCCAAGCAGACGTCCAAGCAATCGTGTGGCTGCTGGTAATAATCTCTTCTTTAAGAGAACGCAAGACGACGATTACTCTTTTTAGACGATCAATCAAAGGAACTGTCAATTCAGTGCTCGCTAGACTTTTTAATTCAAAAAGGATCTTTCTTTTTTACGACATATGTAATAATAGGTTTGCAGAAAGAATTATCATCTAATGACTAATATACACATTATTGTTAAAAATGTTACTTATGGCTATTATTTATTGAACGGCTGCTCTGATCAGAGATGCTTCGTTTTATTTTCACACCAGGTATTTTGCCTTTTCGGCTGCTGTCGGCGTAAATAGTCCTGCGCAAGCTCGTGAGCAGCGGTGCGCAAACCTCTAAGCCAGGGTTTCCCAACCTTTGTTGTATTTCGCACTTCTAAAAATTTATTAATGGACATTCGCATCCCCTACAAAAAAAATTATTCGTATGTTTTATGGTAAAAATTAGTTGTTAGGGTTTTAATGTAAGAAGTTAATTTATAATAATTTATTATTATTACTATATAAAACAATACATAGTATTGTTTTATAGAAATTAACTACCATTTTAATATTATAAAATTATTATCCATGATATCAAGCTTCGCATAGTGATACCTAATTAATATGTACATACAGATACGTAAAAAATATATAATTTTAATAACATTTTTTTTTAATTTTTTAATTTTTTAATTTGATGGTAAAAATGCCGGATTATTCCAGAACTCATCTTAATCATTATTAATTACAATCACTTTTCCTCGCATCCTCAAGAATATTTTTCGCACCTTCGGTTAGGAACCCCTGCTCTAAGTTATCTAGTTGCGTTCTTAAATGCATCTGGAGAAACAATGCAAACTGTTTTGCAGTTGACTATACGTGCGTTTGGGGAACGACAAGGAAGAATTTCGTATTTGGAGATTTTCTATATAATCTTGTTGAACTAGGGCGCTAATTGTAACATTAACTCTCGAGAGCTTTTAGCCAGATAATTCTGTCTAAGTTCCACCCTAGAACAAAGATACGATAATCGAAATGTAGCTATACTCAGGGCACTGCTATTATTGTACAGCCCTTAGAAAAGCTACCTGTTGCTCGCTTGTCCTCAAGGGAGACACAGGTTTCGGAATACGTCCGTAATAGATAATGTCTCGCTGCCTCTCGAAACAGGGGTGATAACATCATTCCTCAAGATATATTTCGAGTTTTTTTATTTTATGTGATAAGTCGAGTGTCTCTGCTAATTTCGTAATAAAGGAAAAAATAAGAAGTCTGTAAATAAATCTTGAAGATAAATAAACTTCGTCTATATGTTTGTGCATATTTTGTATTTGGAATGTGATTTAACGGTTTTGCAAGAGATGGCACTAATATCAGTCGAAGACATTCCAATCACAGCTATTGTTTCTTAATGTTTTGATATTAATCCATGATATTTAGTCATTTACTAACAATAGACGTAGCAAAAATCGTGTTAATACAATCTTAAAAATGGAGCTTCCTAAAGAGCATTTCCAACATGCGTCGCTTTTGTTTTTTAATCAGAAGAAAACGGCGGCAAAAGGTCATAGAATTTTGATAGAAACTTTTGATAGAAATTTGTCGTGATGTTGCTCCATCAATTAAGACATGTGAATATTGGTTTAGACGATTCAAAAGTGGTGATTTCAATGTTAACGACAACGTTCCGGACAAGTAAAGAAGCTTGAAAATGTGTTTGTAATAGATTTGTAAGCATTATTGGACGAAAGTCCAACACGATCCACTTCATAACTTGCCAGCGCATTAAATCGTTAAATTGATCGTACAACAGTTACTGAACGTTTGCATGATATGGAAAAATTCGCAAGAAG